TTGCTCACTTTTGTGAATATACCAAACATCTTGAGGAATAAAATACCCCAAGGATGTTGACCACAGGTATTGGAAGGGCTGATTAAGTTCCTATGGTTTAAATTCACACAGGTAAATTTTGAATAAAGCACAGGACATTTTTAGTAGGAATGTGAGAACAATAACTCACAAAGCTTTTGACAATTTAATGTATGTATCACATCTCACTCCTATGCAGAAGAGAACACCTAAAAGTTGTAGATGCTTGTGGTTGTAAAAGAGTGGCAAAAGCCAAAATGGTTCAGAAAAAAAAAGCTCACAAATTTTTATTAACAAACTACACACTTGGTGTGGAAATTGGCATATGTTTGCCCCTATCTTCTAATAATAAGAGTAATAAAAGAACAGCTGAGAAGGTGTCCAATGTCCTTGTGGTGCCACCCAGGCTTTGGAGGGATACCTTTTTATAGGTGAGTTTTCCCCTGGGATTAAGAATCTCACTCTTCACGTAAATGAGTCATCACACACAATCCGTTCTTCTGGACTTTTACAGAAATGGGTTGGGGGACTTTGAGGGTCTTTTGATGGTCTTGATCCCCCCCTCAGTTGACAGTCCGTGCCTTACTGCCCAGGCTTCTACATATGTCAAACATTGTAGCTTCAAATGCACATTCAAAAAATGCCTAGCTGTAAACATTGTATTTTCTGTTGCTAGGTTTTCTGCTGGATCTACTCCACTCTTGGAAATTCAAAACAAAAGTTAGAGGAAAAAACACCACATACATGTCATTAGCCCTGCAATTTTCTCTGTATCTACATTACATGACTAAACATGCAATATGTGTTGTAATACAACCTGTTCATACAGGACACAGTACTATATTAAATATTAAACTCATATTTAACATTATCTCTCCCTGAAAATAAACGTTACAGTTGACAGAATCAGATTAGAAACATCAAGAAAATCACCAAACTTTATTTGGAAAGCCTGCTCCAACAACTGACAAATTCTATAAAATAAAATAACCAGTCCCTACTATTTGTACCATTTATATGGGGTAGCATTTGGCAAAGAAGTGATGTATGTATTCATGTAGCTATAAATGCTGCCAGGAACGTGACTGCTTAATTAGTACAGATTAAACCTTTGGCAGCAAAGAACAAAAGCAAGATCTCATTTGTAACTGTAAATGAAAAAATTGGTAACTCAAAGCGTCTTTGAAACGCAAAAATAAGTCACTGATTCTTTGTAAAATTGTTCTGCAATATGTACATAAACAATATGATAGCAGTCAGGAAGGCTTTTCATTTGAATAAGTACTGACAATTCTTCATAAAGGATTAATACTATCTCTGCCAATGGTTAGAAAACAAATTTCTTTTAGTGCATACTCTACACGTCTTTTCTTTCTTGTCAATTTAAAGCTTGCTTAAAAAAGGACAGTCTTGGCTATAAAAGCAATGTGTTGGAATGTGTTCCACTATGATTGACCTGTCCTTGTTTCTTTTGGCAACTTGGCTAAAGTATTTTCATCAAACTTTATGATTTTATATAATTTGAAGTAATAAACCACGACACAGCCCCAAAGTGATGACCTTAGAGAATTTCTTCTCTCTAAAAATGCATCACTTTAACTGTTACAGATTTTAACTGTGAAATTATTTCAATTTTCCCAGCTTTTTGGCAATGTAAACATACTTTGAGGCATGTTTTTTTCCCATCTGTGCTTTCATTTTTATATTTACTTTAGTCCAAAATACATGCAAGCTAACTTCTTACACAAAAGATAGAATGTTTTATAAAAAAACCCACAAAAAAAATCACTGAAATGCTATCAAATATTCATTCTTTCAAAAGTGAATGTATTAATACCTCTTTTCCTCTCTCCTGTAATTGCCTTAAGTTATGACTCATTGATTGACTTACTCCCTCAAAAACAGAATTTCTGAAGGAAGATGCATCACTAATAGTCAGCTATTTTGACAATTTGACACTTTCTTTGTCAGAAATAACCATCATGTAATCAAGGTTACGATATATCAACACAATTCTTATATGCCAAATATTATTTGAATTAAAAGGAGATTAAAAATTATCTTCCCATAACTAGCTACGTGGCAAAGGAGAAATCTAGCCAACAATTGCTGCTGCACCCTCCAAATTGGAGCAAAATATTGAAGATGACAGACATGCTGTTCAAACTAAACTGCCAAACTTCCCAACTGACAGATGAGGACGGCAGCATTCATTCCTGTGTCTTTCCCTCCTTTAAATGACTCAGCCTATTCTTCTCCCTTCAGCAATTTCTGAGTGTGCTACTGCTTACAAAGGAAGGAGGCTCCTTTGCAGGAACTGATGAATGGTACTCTACAAAGAAATGTGCCACAAAGAACTGCAGTCTGGCAAAATGGCTGCTAATCCTCAGTGTTGTCAGTGAAGCTCAGCTGTGGTTGTGGGAACTGGAGCCTGAATTAAAACGTTCTTCCACCTCCCTCTCAGGGAAAGCTGAGGGTCTTGCTTTCTGAGAGTATGCAATGGGAACGTTCTGCTCTCACTAAGGTCAGTGGGAGATGGTGGGCATTTTGGATGAACATCATTCTTTGAAGAGAGATGAAAGCACCTGCCACTTAAAAAAAATTAGGAAATATAGTTGTAAAAAGTTCTGCTTTCTACAGTTTTGCATTTTATGATCAAGAGAGAGTGGAATATAAGCAGAGGGATGAGTGCGTATCTTGGTTCAGGTCAGGAAAAGAGATTTTATGATATGTAGGTGCAGAGAATGTACAAAAGTGGGAGAGAACTGGTGAATATGAAGTAAAAAACAGAAGGGATTTATGTAATCATGCTTTGTAGGACTTTTAGGGAAAAAAACCACAAGAAGCTCCAAAGCCACTTAATAGGTCAATATAATTTTGATGTTTCATGTCACTCTAAATTAGAATAAATAAGTCAGATAATGAAACTGGCTTTAAATCTTAATATAAATCCCTTTTGGTGCTCATATTTCCTGCTTTCAAGTAAGCACAGATACCATATTTCCTAAGTTACTTATTTAATATTTTTAAGTTGAAAAACAGATGTGAAGACGTAACCATTAAACTGGAATCAAGAGAATACTTCAATGATTTAGAATTCACCACATCAATGAGATTATTTGAAAGAGGTCAGATACTTGGAGATATGCTTATACTTACAGATACTCAAATAAGATAAATTATGAAAATGGAGATCTGTGTGTCTAAACAACTTCTTGCTAAGGTTGCAAGCATGGTGACAAGAGGTATAAAAATCTGGCAACCAGAACCACCAGATGCTTTAAATTGTAATCCCAGGTTTTGCATACTGTAATCAGAGCAACCTTACAGCTGTGTGTTTGAAATGGGCAATTCCCTAAGCCTACCACAAAATGTTTACCTTACCTTTAAGCCCAGAATTAACTCATTTTTTAGTTGTGTGTTTTGGAATAACTCAGCGATAACAATTTCAAAGAAGTCATGCAGTTCTGTAATCCTGTATGCGGAGATGACTTTGCTGAGATTCTCATCTGATCTCTAGTGAAAAAGGATCATTCTGATCTCTAGTGAAAAAGGAATCAACCTTGAAGACTGAGTTTTAATATCCACAACTGTTTCATAAAAGAACCAAAGCTCATGAACAGTCTATCTTTGTTGATCTATTCATTGCTGTCTTTCTTTTTACTTTTTGTGGGCCTTTTTTTCTAAATTAAAGATGATGCAATATTTTCAATGCTTTCTCATACAGTAGCTCTTTGATACCTGAGATGTCTCACTCCTTCTTTTTTTTTTCCTCTGTATGTCCTTTTTTTTCCCCCCATGGTTTGATAGAATATGAAATCATAAGATGTTTTTCCTCACTGATATGGAAAGTAGCCATGCAGTCATGTTTAAAGTTTCTCCTTACTACAAGCCATCATTCATATCAAGATAGCATTATCAAAATAATATTTTCAAAAATTCGAGATATCAATCTGTTTTACCATTTTACTTAGATTAGGAATTGATCATGTGTTATAATTTGTGCTTAATGACATTAGCTATTTGTTATTAGCTAGTATCCTCTTTGTGGGTACAGCATGAAGTTCAAAATTTATTATGGATCTCTTGTTAGAACAGTGTTGAAGTAGAACTTTGATTCTAGAAATTTCTAGAAATTTCACCAGTCAATGGTTTGAGTTCAAACATAAGCCATGAAAGAAATATGAAGTATTAGCAATGTTACTGAGAAAATGATATTAAAGAAGTGTGGACAAAAATCAGACTGCTTTTTGATAATCCAGACAGGTGGAAGGAGACATATATAAGGTTACTTTAATTTTAACCTTGCTACTTATTTTCTTCTTGCTTTCCTTGAAAGCTGGGTACTCTGTTATAAAATGACTACTAAAAAAGCCCAATTACAGAAATTACTTCAGAATCAAGTATTTTAAACAACTTTTGCATTCCTAAATCCTAAGCATTTAAAGTATTTATAGGTTTTTCTATGATTTCATGTCTTTATTTGAAATTCTCTCTGACAAAAATGTGCATGTAAGAGTTTTAAATGACATCTGACCTCTTCTCTGACTACTAGTCATGTGATGAAAAATGCTTTTGAAAATATTTAACTGTAAATACAGGAAGATGACTAAACTCATAAACTTTTGTCTTCTAAAAAATTCCCATCGCTGCCAAAGCTGGTGAAGCTCCTCTGATGGTTAAAATCAGTGGGAGCACTAAGGCAGAAAATCTTCCAAGTGCCCACAAGCATTCTTACCACTGTACCTTCTATCTACCACTGCAAATCTCTGTTCCTTCCCTTAGAAAATGAGTGGCCACACATTCCTTATCACATTTGCCCTTCCTCTCACAGAACTTAACATTGGGAAACTTCACACAAATACATAACAAGGACAAGGAACAAATTTGTTCAGCAAGGCAGCAAGCAGGCTTACTGTACTACCTCCCTTTCCAACATTTTAAAGAATGCAACTATCTTCTCTCTTTCCTTTCCCATGTAGCTTGAGAATTACATCCAAGACAGTATGAAGAAAGAAATGGTAGAGATCCAGCAAACTGCAGTGCAGAACCAGACTGCAGTAATGATTGAAATAGGCACAAACTTACTAAATCAAACAGCTGAACAGACCCGCAAATTAACAGATGTTGAAGCACAAGTAAGTAATGAATTTCAACCTAAAAATGCTTCTGCTTCCCAAATACTACAACTATACATTTAACACCGTTTATTGTTACACTATTTAGTTCAACAATTACAAGTCAATCATTATCACCAAGAGCTCCACCCAGCCTAAGGATACATTAGTATTTGATAATACCTAGTTCCATCTCAAGCCCAGTGTTGTCACCTGAGTGATTTCCTTTACAGCAGGATTTGAAGTAAGTCCAGCAAGATAACTGTTACATTAACCTTTAAACAGAATGTACTTAAAACTACTATACTATATCTAAGCATCAGTTGGGTCCTAGTGTGCTTTCATACAACCTTCATTGTATATCTCTGTTGATTATTCACCACTTTAGCTAAAAGAAAGTTCCTTCAAACTGCCTTTGCTCCATTTACCAGGTTCATTGCTTCTTAAAATCGAAACTTTTCTATTTTTTTTTAACTTGTCAAGAAAAATGTGTCTTTTTAATGAATGCTTTCACAGATACTCTAAGCGGTTCCAGCACAATGTACCGTATTATGGATAACAGAGGGATACATAAACAAATCTGAGATAAATCAAGAAAAAAGAAATTAGAAGGCTTCTAGAAAAGCATATTCACACAGAAGTAAACCTGCCTGCTGTACATATTATTTGCTAACTTACTTTAAAAAAAAGGGTTTATCTTTAATTATGGTTTAATTGAAAAACATTAACATTCTGTTAAACAGAATGCAGATATTAATAGGAGGACAAGTCCAATCAATGTAGAATGGCATGCATTTGTATTTTTGCAGACATGGTGGGAAAATTCAGACATATAACTGCCAAAACACATAATGAATATAGCATGCAGCACATAACATTTTATATAATATAAATAGCATACAAAATCTAAAATCCTTGTTAGACATTTTACTATCTGTAGAATTCATCCAATGAATAAAATTCCACTTTTTAACAAGTCTTTGTGAATTCTTTGATAAACTGATAGTTCATAGCTCACAGAGGTACTGAATTTAACTTTCTGATTGCATTATTCAGGAGCCTAATATTTTGCACATGTTGAGAGAATGTATTTATTCATTCACTGTAATGTCTTTATGGAAATTACTCAATTATTTTCTGCTTAGAGGAAGAAAATCCTGACTGTAACTTTCCTTCTCTGCTTGAAATTACTGGTGACTGGGTTTAAGGCTTAATTAGCAACATAAGGAAATTAACCAAACAATTGCTCTCTCAAGGACACTTACTTCTGGCAATAGTTTTCAATTACACTTAAGTGTGAAATCATGTCCTGAATGACTGTTTAACATGAAGGACATGAGTAATCAATTCTTCCTGTCAAGGAAAGCCAAATTCTGTTGAATTAAAAAAAGCTGTTCTAAAACAATGAGAAAATATTTCTAGAAAACATGCCTCAAAGTAATGCAATCCCATACAGACCGAACACTATCTTCCATGTTTCCTAATATCTGTATCTCTTGATTTAAAGATGCAAGTAAAGCGTAAACAATACATTTAGAAAAGGTAACATTAAAATGGAAAGAATGAATTGACAAAAGTGTGGTTCACATGAAAAACATTTGAAAATATAATTTGGGATTGAGAAAAATAGCTAGGAGGGAACTATCAAGTGATTTTTGGAATAGGCCAAGATTTCAGCAAGTGAGAGAGTACATACTTTCTACACCAGACTGAGACAACAACTCAACTCATTCTTTGAGCAACAACCATAACAGTTCCAGTAATGAAGTAAGAATTATCATAACAGAGGGAAAGGTATAACAGCAAAGCTAAAGTACACAGTAGCTTTCATCCATTGATCAGAAATGTAGCAGACTACTGAAATATTCCCACTCATATATGGTAGCATAATAATTAAATTAGTGCAACTATGTGTATTCTTCTTCATTCTGATTCCATGAACATTTGTGCCCACATTAAGTGTTGAAAAATATATATTTTTTAATCATAAGCTTAAGAAGAGATTTGCATGATTTCAGAACATAACAAAATTAAAATTTATTTAAAAGAAGTATCTTAATTGTCAAATTTTTTTTGTAAATTTTATTTAGGTATTAAACCAGACAACCAGACTTGAACTTCAGCTTTTGGAACACTCTCTTTCAACAAACAAACTTGAAAGACAGATTTCAGATCAGACCAATGAGATAACAAAACTACAAGAAAAAAACAGGTAAGTTTGCCTATCAGCCCAATGAAATGCTATTCCCTGAAGTGCCCTTCTAATAGTTTTAGAAACAAATGTACTGAAGTAGGAAAATAAGCCCTGGTACACAAGCTCCCCACACCCAGCTATGCTCATTACAAAGGTCATATATTATTTAAAGCCTAGCAGATCATGCAGGTTTCTTCTCATATTCTCTTTATATATCATTTTTCACTATTTAAAGTTCTCCTTTATTTAAGGAACTTAAGGCTAAAACTGCAGGACTTCTCAGTACGTCAGTTGTAGCCAATTTATATTCTTCTTTAGACTGATCAAGATGAAGTTATCAGTAACCTGATTCAAACTAATTGAGTGCAACCACATCTCCAAAATTTTATTTCCATGTAGTACACAGCTATCCTAATGAACAACCAGGTCATGGCCGCAATTTTTTTCTAACATGAGAAAAATAAAACACTAATCACATTCAATGTTCCTTACTAGTCAATGTTTGAAATTCAGACCAATATCCAACTGTTATTCTTATCCTTTTCTGTACTCAGCTGTGGTCCAAAGGCTCATACCTTTTTTCAGCTGGTTTTGTTTCCATATCACCAGGGTCTTATTTTACTTTTGGCAATAAATAGTTTACAGAGAAATTTAAAAGCAGCAATAACAGTAAGTTGTCTCCTTCAAAACCATGTTTTTTGATGAGAACCATATGTGCAAAGTGCTTTTTATTTTGAAAGAATTAGCTTAAAAAACCCATGAGACATGTTTTGACATTTTTGTTCACTAGTCTACTACACTTACATATGCTCCCTAAAGGTTTATCTACCAGCTTAAGAAGAGCAAGCATCCTTATCAAATGGAAAGCGAAGGAAATACTGAATTTTAAAGGTCACTTTTCTCTGGTGTTGAACTCAGCAGATCTTAGACTACTCTTGTAACATCCATGTAAACACAAAAGCATTGTTTCTCACCTAACAAAAGGCAATGTGACTTTGAGCTAATCTGCTTGAAACATAAGATTCAGGATTTTTTTTTCAATAATAGCAATGGATTTTAGGTGAACTTCTGTCTTCTAGCCATGCACCTTTTAACATCAGCTTTCTCAGTGTCTGCATCAGAACAATTAGCAGTGAAATAATGTTCCATCCAGAGACCTAATCATACCAGCTCCAGAACTGGAGATGGCAAGTAACTATTTGCATGTTTCCCTGTCTTAATGCCAAAACATTTTTTCATATTAAGTATATATTTTAATTATAGGATGTTTGAAAAGTTCACAGTTTCATCTGTTTGAAGATGAGAATAAGTTTCATCTTTTAATAGGGTAAATCCATGAAATCTTAGTCACTATATCTTTACTTTAATAATGCTGAATTATCAAACACCCAAAAAGCCTGCAATACAGACTATAGCAGACAATGTTTTTTATTAATGCAACTATATAATAAATTAAAGCATATGTATGAAACTAAACTTTCATTTAGTCATCTACTGCAGATATGGCATCAGAGAATGAAATTGAGTACTTATGAAGAAAGAAACTTCTACAACAGGCTTGACATCAGTTCAAAATTGTTTCTGGGGAGCCTAATTGTAATCTTTTATTTAGCTTTCTAGAAAAAAGAGTTCTTGAGATGGAAGACAAGCACACACTTCAGCTGAAGTCAATAAAAGATGAAAAAGATCAGCTTCAAGTCCTAGTATCCAGACAGAATTCTATTATAGAAGAACTAGAAAAACAGTTAGTTACAGCTACAGTAAACAACTCAGTTCTGCAAAAACAACAACATGATCTGATGGAGACCGTTCATAACTTGCTTACTATGATATCTACACCAAACTGTAAGTAAAAGCAGATATGCTTATATAATTTCTGTGCTATTTTCTAATTTCTGTACATTATTACCTATAAAGTCTTACACCTAGTTCTGTCCCACTTCTGCTTCTCAAAAAGTCTGTATTTTTTTGCCTGAGTTGATTAACCTACTTTTTAGAGGAGTAGGGGAAACAAACACATAATTTATGTGGTTTCTTTTCAACATTTTGTTCATCTTCTGTGGTTTACATTGGTTTGCCTGCTCACTTCTCCAGTGGTTCAACAAAATAGAGAGATGCCAAGTGTCATTCATCTCACATAGCATTCATTTGTGTGGCAATATACCAATTGACCAATCTAGGTTAGACTGCATGATGTAGGCCTGCAACATTTCTTCCTGGCTCACACAGGTTGTTTCTGCCACCTCTCATTGCTTTATGCACATAGAGTTCATCAAAGAAAGGACAAATTATAGTGGCTGCTAAAGGGAAAGGAATCAGCACAGGCATAGTTTTTACCCCCAACAACAGAAAGCAGCAGCCCAGGCCAACAGCTACTCCCAAAAGTCCTCCACTGAAGTTTCCTTGGTCATCCTAAAAATCCCTCAGCCTAGCAAATTTATAGGCAAGAATCTCACCCCTAATTGCCTGACAACCCTGCAACAAATTATAGCCACAGAGCATAGCTTCCAAATTTGTGCAGGTTCACATGCTCCATAGAAAACCCCACACAAACCACAAAGTTATGGCTACACAAGATTTAAACATTCCTTGCCTTGAATTTTATGTCTGAATATGGAACCTGGACAAATTAAGAAGGTATAGTTGTTCCATAGAAAAGACTGTAGAATCTGGCACATTTGCCCATAAAGTTCTCAGGGCTTAACACATACAGAACCCCTAAAAAAGGATTTAAAATTAAATACCAGAAAAAAAAATTAAAAGTTGTCATTACACCATAGAAGACAGTATAGGTAGTCTGTGTTACATTACTGCAAGTTAGATCACAGAAAAGGAAAAGTGTTCGGAAGTCCTTACTTTCAGTAGTATCCTAAATAATAATGTTGTAGGTTTTTCTAAACAAAGTAAATCCCAAGTTTTTTTGTCTTGATAACTGACGCTATCCCCTTAAATGCCATTACCAAGGCTGTACATGTTCCTGCTGATGTTATCTGCTATGCTAGTGCACAAATAAGTAAACAAGTCAAAGTCATGTTGGCTACAGCACTGTTAAACCCACAGTGGAAAAAATAATGAATGTTTGCCAAAAAGACAAAATTAGCAGGGAAAGCTTCTAAGACAGTATACAAACAATAGAGTGTGGAAAAGCAATTAAAACACTGAACGTGTTATTTTTATATGTAAGGCAAAACACTTAAACAGGTAAATAATGAATAAGCAAGCTAAAACCAACATAATAAGCAACTGTAATATAAGCATGTATTTATATGGCACCTAAACCTTTGTAGGAACTGACTGTGCTTTTTAGATTTAATTAATAGGGAAAACACACGGAACCAACCCCAAAAGGTTCAAATATGAAATATCAGTCAGCAGGCGAAATGCCAGGAAATTCCAACCTCCATAGTTAGAAAGTACTGAACGAAAAGATGAACCTTAGATTGTTCTGTAGAATAAGAAGGCTTAGACATATGAAAATGTATTTTTTGCACAAATCAATTCCAGAGGGGATGTCTCTTCAGTGGGTTGGGCTGAGCTGCCAAGCTTCAGTTTGGTACATATAAACTTGTTCCTGCTAGGCACAGGGGCAAAGAAAAATAATCTAAAATCTTTGTAAGAGTAGTTCCACCAATCTGCTGTATTATAAAAGATTTCATAACTCTTACATTGGATTTTACAATATTATAGTACTGCCCAAAAGTGATTCTTAATATAATCACTTGCTAGTTAAGTATTTATGTAGTAATAGTTAATGAGCATATAGGTTGTAATACACGTAAGAGACCAGCAAAGGCAATGAGTGGAAGCAGAAACTGTTTAACCGAATGTCATGCAATATCCTTTCTTATTCACCATAAGTATTGGCATTTTTCAACTTATCAAGCAACCAGACTCCTATCAGAATAATGTCTCTGAATTATACAAAGTAACAACATACATAATAAGTATCTTGATCTGTCGTTTCTTTCAGGGCCAGGCATATCTTTTGGAGCTGCAAAGCTTTTCGCTGATTACATCATAAATTGCTTCTTAGTAACTTTTATTTGTCTCTTCTTAATGCCTTCCATTTCAATTGTATTTTTAACAGCTAAAAACAACTTCATAGCTAAAGAGGAGCAAATCAGCTTCAAGGACTGTGCTGAAGCTTTCAAATCTGGACTGACAACAAGTGGAATCTACACTTTAACAGTTTCAAACACGGCACAAGAAAAGAAGGTAGGATAAAGAGCTACCTAGGCATACTGGATGTTAAAAGTTATTTGATCTGGCAAATATGCTATTTTGAAGGCTAGTTAATAGTGAAGTTTACTACTTACCAACGTCTTTTTATAAGCATTTCATCACTCCTAAGTCAGAATATCTAACAGGAAGAAAAAAGTCCTTCAGGTGAAATCTTGGCTCCTTTAAAATTAATGAGCATTTTGTTGTTTGCGTCAGCGTGGCAGAATTTAATTCTTTTTTTTCTGAAAAATTAACGCAGCTAAAGCAATAATGTACTGACATTTCTTTATAAAGTCTGTAACTCCATCAGAGTTGCTCTTGCATGATCTGCAAACTCCTATCTTCTCTTAAATTCTTAGTTCTTTCACGTACCCAAGTCCCTTCACATGGCAAAAGGAGGTAAAATCAGGGACGCAGAAGAGTACTCATGGATGTATACTCATGACAGAGTTTTAAGGACATTTGTGTAACACTTGCATTAACAATTAGATCAGCACGACTGACACTGGGTAACAGAGAGGATTTTTCTGGAAAATATTGCTCTGATTTAAATAAAAGGTGAGTTTGCAGTGGTTTCACTAGATCAGTTTAAGTTCCTCTGTGGATAGTTTTTCCCCTTATGTTTAACTGAAATGAACTTCAGCATCAACTTCAGTTAAAGCCATACACCATAGCTCTATAGAAGAGACCTTGAGCCAAAAATGGCAATCAGTAGATGAAACACTGGATGCCTGACAGATGCTTCATCTACTGAAATAAATAAAATGATAAAATGATAAAACTTCAGATAGTATAGGTCAGTTGAAACAGTCAACAGAATGTGAAAGGGAGAAAAGTCACACGTGGATTGTGAGGATAAAGAACCAAAACCTCTAGTGAGCATTGGGAGGAATGGGGCTCAAAAGATGAATGTTTGTTTTTAACTATTCAGACACAGATGAACAGACTAAAGGACATTTGAATATGAAAAAAAATGCTTACTATATTTCTTAGACAAACACTAAATAATTTTCTGCTGTTTTTATTTTCTAATTTCTACTGTAGACACTTCCTTACACAAAAAAAAAAAAAAAGAAATATTTTATGGAATTCCAAAGGCTTTACTTTATTACATCAGAAAAACTAACAGAAAATTTAAAAAAACAGAGAAAAATGAGACATATGTGGAAAAGCAATTGGTAAAACCCAGACAGAGAAAGCATTTTTTCCCCAAGCTTGGATAGCAAAGGTTTAGAAATGAAATTCACTAGTGATTAGTCTTTGAAGTGCCAGAACTTCATTTAGCCCAAGCCAGACTGTGATCTTTACATTTACAAAGCTCTCAGCTAAAGGAAATAAGAAATTTGTCTGGGTAAGACCTATAAAATACAATAGATAAAACCTGCAATTTTTTGCAGATATAATCTAGAGAAATTATTCACAGTCAGCTTCTCTTGGGGAAAAAAAAAGTTAGTTTTCTCGTCAAATATTCTAGTCTAACTACATCTGTTTCACAGGAAAATTAGTTACATAAGATGTCATAAAGTGAAGTTGAATGGTATTTAAATAGCATAGATATCTACAATCACAATTTTAAAAGCTAAAGGAGATGCAAGCTACTACATCTCTGAAGTAATAGATTGCAGCAGTCTTTGTTAGACATTTCAGGAAGGTTTACATTCCTTGGATCTCTTACTATTACTTGTCTCAAGTGTTTTTCTTTGGTTTTAATTTTACTGTCATATATAATATACAGAGCATGCATATTTTCTAAAATCAGATGCAAGTGCAGGACATATTACAGAATGAAAATTTCTGTCATAAACTTTACACTGCATTTTCAAAAGTACAATCACAAATTTCATAGACTATAAAATATTAAATGCTTTACATTTGAACATGGAGGCTTAAAAAACTTAACATAAATACCCATTTTGGTAACTGACTAGGCTAAAAAGTAGTTAAAATGTACTAATTTAATTAAATTAGTATTAAATCAGTAATTTAATAATAATTAAGAATTTAAATTGTATTCTGCCCACTTCGGATAAAAAAAGACAGGGAAGGTTTTACTTACCATATGACATTGAAAATAAGAGACTAAAAAGTTTTAATATGATGTTGATTTTTATACAAATATAGAGGAGTTGTCAAGGGAAGTGAAGGTTTAGGGATAATCAACATGTTACACCATTTTCAACTGTTTATGATGTGGATGGCTACTCAGACCAGGAAACAGAGTGACCTTTTTTATTTGCCAAAAGTGCTGCACTGCTGTTTATGTTTTCATCTTTTCCTCTTGTAACACCTTCTGACCTCTCAATGGGCTTATAAACAACTCCTGTGTAATCTGTAACTGATCCCACTTTACTAATTTGTCTCCCATCATAATCCAAAACTAAGGAACTGCATATGAGAGTTGAGAGGAAAACAATTATTTAATTCCATTAATATTTTCAAGCTTTCCTGTTCTGCACCAGGACAAAAGCTAAGTCCTTTTAAAAACACTGAGAAAAACAGCAAAAGACTGCTGACACAAGGAAAAATGGCAGAGGCAAACCCAAGAAAAGTGAATAGTTTCATGTTTACAGCAACTGCATGAACCAATTAACCTCCTGGTTTTAACCAGGCAGAGTACATAAAACTGTTAGCAATGTATTACTCCAAAGCTTAAAATAGTGACTGTAACAGTGGCTTATCCCTTTCCCATTTCCACCCATGTTTATCTGAATTTTTGTCCCAGAACTGACACACATTCAGAGCCAAGGCCTTTTAACCAAAACTTTCTCGCAGGAAGTGATTTCGGCAAGGCTGAATTCACCAACAAAATGGTTTATCATAACCTTCCAAAAAACTAGCTAGTAATTTCAAAAGGAGCTTATGCCATGGACTTTATGTTTAAAATACACATACACATTGTTTCCAATGCCAAGTATTAAAAAAGATCATATGTGTAGCTTCACCAATACAGTAACAATAAGTAAGATGATTTTGGTTTTTTTTCTGTGAATCTTAGAAGTCTCATCATCTGTCTTTTCACTGGCACCTGGTATAAGGGTAAATTAAATTACAAACAGTGTGTGTAGTTATTTTTTCCACAACAAGGAAACTCGGACTGCAGTTCTTATCTAGTCACATCTATAGGAGATAGAGAAAGCAGAGTACAAAATCATTGAACTGCACCTGCTTTAGCATAAAAACTGTAGTGGATCTTCATCCTGATAACTCAGCCTGAGCCTTACCATTCATAAAGTACGTCTGAAAACACTTACACCCCAAATACCCTCTCACAGTGCTACAGCTGCTAGAATTGTATGCACTGAAACAGTTCACAAGATACTTCAAATATTCCCCATTCCAATTTGTTGTAACTTGAGAGGCTAATCTCTTTATTCTTTTTGGCATCTGTCTGAAGACTCCTGCTGCCTGTCCAATCTTGGTATCTATTTTTACTAGTTTTATCAAATGTTACATGTCTTCCTTTTGAATATAAAATTCTTTTGATAAAAGAAAGCCTTAGAGATGACTGACATGAATTTTTTTTGGTCTGGAAATATTATACTCACAAATTTACATAAACTTCTTAAAATCGCTACTGGTAAAAAAAAAAATCTATATGAGATTTTTATGGACATCTCTTCTCCAATTTCTCATTATGTTTCAGTTCCTAGTTAGTTGCTTTTCCCTTTGGGAACAAATTTGCAGTACCCCAGCATTTATCCCAACAAACCTACAGTGCCTATAACAGCTAGTTGTCTTACCATTTGCTTACTTTCCTGCCTGTTATAGGAATGTTTTATGTAGAACATCCACAGTCATTCACTGTTCGAGAATATTTTAATCTCATTAGAACAAAACAAAGTGCTATTTAAAGGCATTTATTTCTTCAAAGTAATAATTCCAACTGAATCAAAATTTAGATGATAGGCATCAAGGAAATAGAATGTAACATGCAAAAAACCCATCAATTAACATCTACAGTAGCAATATCGACTGGACTTGCAGCTCAAGTAAATTAATACATGGGCTCCTACTGTACATACTTAAAAACTCCATGTTTCAAAGAAGGGTGAAACAGTTCTGTTCTCCATCTGACTGCTTATATTGTTCTTTCAAGTGGGGTGAAGCTTCAGAATCAACAACTTTCTCTACAACTAATGATATTTTACCACTGTTAAATCAGCTTTTTAACTTGTAGCAATGCTTAACAAAAGTATCTGCATCTGCTTTAGCCCATTCTTAGTATCCTTCCTCATAGCCCTCTATGGAAATTAGTTTTCACATATACATGTAGATTACACTTCATGAGTTAGCTTTCTGAAACAGACTGATCTCTTACATCTTCTGCCTTTCCTTTACAAGGTAATTTTTATTTTACTAAATTTAATTTATATACTGTTACCAATTTTTTACTGGTCATTAAATACAGATGGTAGTAAAACCAAAGAAAAACTAGGCTTTGAGATGTAAGGAATTACACACATCAGTACAAATTAAAGTTGCTGCTTTCAATTAAATTCCATTCACATGATATACTTTAAGAAGTAATCCCTAATCCAACTCTTTTCCTTATGTATTTTATCTTTCCTAAAAATCTCAAATTGAATGTCTTATAATTCTCTGATGTTGAACAAAGAGTCTAGATACAAGCTTAAAATAAAGTATCTGCTTTGGATTTCTAATGTGCTACAGACTATTGAAACACTAATATATTTGATATTTCCAGCTGTAAGGGCTTTCTTTCCCTTCAAAAGTCTGATGCCTTTGAACAGTATATATGACACTGCTTGAACTGTAAATACCCTGTTTGAATGATATAAATATATACATGTGTGTGCGTATCACATACGTACAATCCACATACCCTAAAAGAGTCAACTACATTGAAAATTTAGTAAGGAGTACACCCTACTTCCTAAAATGACACATATAAAACTGCCATGGGACAGAAGGAAATTCTGGCTTCCCTGAAGTCATACTTTTTCAATGAATTTCCGGGATGTTTAACAGTTCAAAGAGCTCAAATCTGCTAACTGCTAACACTGATAAGCCAGTGACCCAAAGAAGAGGATGAAAAAGCCATACAGGTTCAGTGTCATTCAGTCATGCTTTGGGACATCTATAGGCACATTGTGACAAGCAGTAGTAATAAATTAAGTAATAAGTAAGACCACTGAGAGAATTTTTAAACAAGGAAGGAAACATCCAAATTCATATTGAGATGCTTGGCTAGGTTTTTTATTTATTTATTTATTTAATTAGTCTTTACAGATGAAATATCCTATCAAAGTGTAAGAAGTCAAATCTTAGCTCCACAGCTGTAAATGGGAAGATGCAACTTCACTTAATAGATGAAAGATCTAGAATACAGATTAGAAGTTAATGTAGTTTAATACTCACAATAGAATATAAAAACTTTTCAAAGATGTGAAATAATTCTGAAGAAGACTCAGAACTTTAGTATCGTGGCAGGAAGTGGTAAAAAAAAATTAAATTTACAAATGAGAGAGCATTAACTGTGAACTCTTCAGACAGGAATACTTGTACAAGCAATTTAATATTTTTCTTAAAGATAGTATTGGTACTAACATGCAATTTAAACAGATCCTGACTTCACTTTGCCTTTCATTGTACTGAGTTACACCAGCTTAGCTCCACTAACTTCACACATCTAGCTGTAAGTTCTGTTAGTTTCGGAAAAGCAGAATTAGACGTAACAATTTCAAATCCTTTCTCAAGAAAAATTGTACTAGATATTCACATATTTACAAAATTTTTTTGTTAATTTGTCCCCTATTTCTCCCAAAGATCACTCCAAAATTCCTGTTAATTGTCAAAAGACTTTTTTTCCATCAGCATCTCCCCAATACACTGGCACCTTCAGTAATACCTTTCATCTCTGACACTGTAGTGACTTAATCTAGAAGGAGATTGACTGAGCAAGACACCTATAAACTTGAATTTTATGTCCCAGAGATGCATTTATTGGGAATTCTAAAACTGAGTTCAGTGAACTGCCTATTACATGTCAGTCCTTTCAAAGTTTTAGCAATGACTTGGTAAAATCAAAGGTGATTTAGGAATATTTGGAAACACCTTATAGTTGTTACCTTTTTGTTCAAGAATATAAGATATCCATTGCATTCTGTATAACATGGCTTCAAGATTTAAGTTTGAGATAATAACTGTTCTACACTTACATTTAACTTTGAGGTCAGACCACTTGCAAAGGCACTGAACAATGACTGTGGAAATAAAAATATATTTCAGTTTGCTCACTGCCTGAACTTGACAGTATACTCTGAAAAGCCATGGGAAAGTTGAACAGATCTCTCACAAAAAAAAATGGAGAAGTGAAAACATCTTTTAGAAAAAATATATCACGAGGAAACTCACAAAAATACCGGTGCAAGAGGGAAGTATAGAATAAGAAATTACATTCCTTTTTTTTTTTCTTCCTTTAGCAGCAGCTACCAGCAATTTTTAAGGTGTCATTTGTATTCTGTTAAGTGTGATACACAGGAATATACAGAGGAATCACATTTATTTGTGGACAACCACAACTGATTTGTATGACAGCTATGAAAAACCTGCATTTTTAACACATATTTTGCACAACTTGCCTTTCTGGTTTTGTTTTGCTATGATTTATGCTGGTACCTACTTACTCTGACAGGCCTACTGTGACATGGAAACTGGTGGAGGAGGTTGGACAGTTATTCAGAGACGTGAAGATGGCAGTGTGGACTTTCACCGGACATGGAAAGAGTATAAGATGGTAAGCAATGTTTTCTGAAGCCTTAAATATTAGTTATTATTATCTGAAATCTAATACACTAAAGTTACATTAATAGCATCCTTAGAATGTAAACAACTTTAAAAAGTTGTCTATGTCCTTAGATGCTCATTTAGAAAATGTCAGAGTCCAATAAGTTGTTTGTCTAAGCAGACTTGCAAGTGTGATGTTTGTTTTTAAAGAGAAACCTTACTTTTCTTTAATCAACTGTTCCATCATATGTCTACATTTTTTGAGTTATTTATATTTGTGTTTCTAGTGGCAACAGTCGAAACTGCTCCAAATCTATGAAGTAATACTGATTCACTGTTTCAGATTCCTGAGCTTGTCTTTGCTGAAATTAACTTTTTGAAATATTACAGACCAATAACCCTCATAGACACAGTAAAATTCTTAGTTGACAGACTTGAAAAGTATTAAACTTAAAAACATATAAAGTGATAATTTCAAATGCAAACAAAAAAACCCCCAACAAAACAAAGCTTTAATATAACATATAGTTTAAAATATATACCTTGAATTACAGGGATTTGGTGATCCTGCTGGGGAATACTGGCTGGGAAATGAGTTTGTTTCTCAATTGACTAATCAGAAGCGTTATGTTCTTAAAATACACCTGAAAGACTGGGAAGGAAATGAGGCATATTCATTGTATGACCACTTCTCTCTAGCAAGTGAAGAACTAAAATACAGGTAAGCAGAAAAATCAGACTTGAATAAAACAAAGCTCTGATAGTAATAATTCTAAACTGGGTAGATGCATGAACTTATTTTGTACAAATCTTGACTATTTTCCATTTCACTCAGAAAATAATGTTTGCTCCGTTTTTTACCTATTGCCTAAAAAAATTATTTCTTTTTCCAAAGGAGAAAATGTGTATTTTACTAGTGCACACCAGATTTTAATGGACCTATTAATTATGCTCCCATCATCCTGTAAAATGTAAAGCTTCGTAATTTCTTCTTACATCTTAGTTAGAATAAGAAATCATACAAATTTTAAAGAAATACTTTTTATATAAATACTATCATAGTATTATACACTTTTAGTAGTATCATAGTATTATACATTTTGAAATATCATCCACAGCTGAAATATGTGGGCAGTTCACAGTTCATTCTCCCAGCTCTTTGTAAATGCAGCAGATACTGTTTGATTTGTTCGAGAAGAAGCTTGAGACTCCACAGTATACCAGATGCTTTCCTACTACATGGTCCATGAAATGTTTCTCTTTAATAATCGTACAGAATCATGGAGCTTTAGGTGACTGGACAGAAAAATTACCTACATTTAGGTGAATTTCTCCAAGATTTCTAGCAGCTATTTGTTGTAAATAAAGTCAGTCTGACACCTGAGAGAACCGATGCTGTTATTTCAACTCAAGTCTTATATGCAAGCAAAGCAATTCCAAACCATCAGCATCTGCCCCCCACAAAACATTAGATCTTAATGCCTTGGTAGTATACAGTTGTCTCAGCTCCAAAGTAAATATTTTTTCATCTGGAAGCAGTCAGAATCTACAGCAGAGATTTTTTTTTTAAGTAATGCTTTAAAATACTTAGAAAGGCAACCTTTGCAAATTGGGTCATTACCCTTGTCTATTTACAATATTAAAAAATAATTACTGAAAACTAAGATGGTAAAAGAAACTTTCTTATAATATGCAACCAAACATGGAATGCATCATAACATGGAGTGGTTTAAAGAATATATTTAACATTATGAAAAATTAAAAAAACAAAGAAAGTATTCAATTAAGAGTATTTTCAATGCCCCATCGGGAGGGCAGAGTTCTAGGCCAGGCTGGACAGGGCTTTGAGCAATCTGGTTTAGTGAAAGTGTCTCTGCCCGTGGCAGGTGGATTGGAACTAGGTGATCTTTAAAGTCCCTTCCAACCCAAACCATTCTATGAATTTGTGATCCATTACATAAAAAAAGATTAATACATTCCAAATGCTGGGAAGACTATGGGTTGGACCATAAAACTGAAATTTCTTTATAGAAAAACTGAGATCAGAATGGACTTTGAATCAAACTTTCTGACCTCAAAGCTAAGAAGTCAAACTAGGTTGCTTGGGGATTTTCAGTTATGTCTTGATAACCTCCAGAAGTGGAGACTGCACAACCTGCTTGTCTGTCCTCGTGGCAAAAAAAGTTTTTCCTGATACCTAGTCAGAACCTCTCATTTCGATTTCCATCCACTGCCTCTCATCTTCTCTTATATTAAGATGTACTTTAAAAAAATTATTAATAACAGTAAATGAATAATACTGTGCTTACATTAGACTTCAAATTATATTTAAGGATCAAGCCTAGGTGCATACATTATACTTGGAAATTTTAATATACTTTATGTTATAAATTGGCTTACACAATTTTGAACTCACCTTAAGAAAAAAACAGAAATCTGTAATGAGCTGATCTTTTGAAAGCTAAATGAGTAAAAATTCATTAATTCAATATGTTTTCAAATAAGGAATATAAAATGTGTTAAAATAATCTGTTAAACTCCCAAAGACAACTTCTATCATAAGCAGAGAATTACATGCAAGATAAAGATTGACCCAGGGACAAATCAATTCTCCTCAGAGATTCAGATCTCCTCCTTAAACAAATAGAATGCCTCTGAGAAGCATGAGGTATCCGATACAGAAATGCAACCACCAAAGAGATACTATGGGAGTAGAGGGTTCAAATCCTTCCAGTTCGGTGCTCTGTCTCTCCCCACTGCGACTGCATCAGCACCTGTGTAAGCACAACCCAACACAGCAGCAGCCTCACTGAAAGCTTACCTTGCCAGGGAATTGAAGAAAACTTAAATACCTGTGATGATTTCATGCTAATAAATCTATGAGGGATGTGAAAAGGAAGAATAATTAGGAAAGTGGAAAGGGAAACACTGAGCAGCTTTTAAAATGCCAGTCACTAGCTTGTAATTAATACTCCAGATAATGCTATTATTTCTGATATATGCAGAGTTGTCATGATAAACTGCTATGCTGTGTTAATAGCAAAATGGGAACCAAAATTTTTGTTTTAAACTTTTAAACTTAATAAAAAAATATTTTTATTACTGTGGCATGAAAGTAGAACAGTGTAATTTCAGTATTAAGAAATACATGATCTACATGAAAAATTCCAGGAGTTATTATATACTTGCTCTAATTTGCTTCTAATATGATGACATGAACATCATCTCTATAAATGTGGAGGCTGTTCATGAGAATATTGTGCTGACCATTTCTATTCATATGAAAACATTATGCTGAAAAACAGCTTACAACAGTACATTGGCCAGAAGAGAACTTAACTATTTGAACAGGATATTTATTGCAAAGTATTCCATCATTATTTTGCAGATCAGATACCATCAACTTCCACTTAATAATTGTTTTTCCATTTCTCACTTCTACAGGATTTACCTTAAAGGACTTACTGGGACAGCGGGCAAAATAAGCAGTATAAGCCAACCAGGAAATGATTTTAGCACAAAGGATGCAGACAATGACAAATGTATTTGCAAATGTTCACAAATGTTAACAGGAGGTAGGAATGTTTTTATGCTTTTCAGTCTTCCTATTTTTATTGGCAGTGAAATTGTCTACGAGATAAACAGTGATAATTTTGAATTAGTAAATTTTGACTACTAGTATGGTGACTCCAAATGAAGTATTTTATCATTTTACAGTGGTTAGTTAAAGTAAAACAAGAGAAGTTAAAAGTGGAGGGAAAAAAGTCTCTAAAGCTGGGCTACAAGAAAGTCTGTAATTGTGGAACTAACCAGAAAGACAGCAGATTCTTCCTCCAAGGAATGAAATAACAGCCAGAGATCAAAACTCCCTGAAAAAACCCTGTTTCAGAGATCCAGCTTGTCAGTGAAATGGCTCCTGATTCTTTAGGCATAAACTCTTTCCCTAACTACCCAGAGGAGAAAATCCCCAGAAGCCGCTGTGTACTGCATGTGCTACAGAAGGCAACACGAATTCTAAATATATTTTGATATAATTATGAAGTGGTAAAGATACATCACTGAGATATCTACATTTTTCTAATGATTGTTCACTAGTTATTTGAGTTCTAAGTGATATTTTTATCTTCAACCAAATTCTATAATTTTTTAATCTAGAATTCTGCATTCTGAAATGTAAACAAATTCTTTGTAAATTTGACTTCTCTTCCTGTTATCTCTTAAGCAACGGTTTGTTTTCCTCTAGCGTAAGTTGCAAGAAAAAAAAGACAGCTTCAGTTTATCCAAAAGGATAATTGGATTACTGCCCTGCAAAACAAAACACATATACTATCACCATCATAACAGAAGTATAAAAATAATATTAATAAAAATAAATTTTCCTTATGACCCACTAACACGTCAGGACTATAAGGATACACAATGAGGGCTGCTTTTTTTTCCTTTTCCTTCTTACCAAGTTTCAGAAGGTTTTGAACCGATCTGCACAGAGAACTGAATTAACTCTCTAGAAAGAATTGGGTTCAAATCTGTGAAGAACAGGAATTTACCAAAGAGTAAATAAAATCAAACACAACTTGATATCATTATAGTTCGTGTTCTGCCCTCAGACTGTCAACAATGTTTGATGTTGTTAAGCTTGATTGAACACCTTCCCTTCTCAATTTTAAAGTACAATGTATTACATAAGCTTCAAGAATATGTAGTTGATACATAAAATACACTTCTTTCCTGACTTTGATGCAAGTATTTTATACCGACAGTTCCAAATCACAACAATGACAAACTGGACTTAGATTTCTTTCTCATTTCTGGACAACAAAGTGACCTTATATACTATTTTGAAAATTACTTCTGCTGATGTTTGTCTTCTGTCTTGCAGGATGGTGGTTTGATGCTTGTGGTCCTTCTAACCTCAATGGAATGTATTATCCATTACGACAGAACAACAACAAGTTTAATGGGATCAAGTGGTACTACTGGAAGGGTTCGGGATACTCTCTCAAAGCTACAACTATGATGATACGACCAGCAGATTTCTAAATGTTTTTGAATTATGTGAATTGTATAGTCTTCAAAGACTTAATTTGCCAAGCATATAAACACACATCTGCAACTTGTCTCATTTTTCAAGCCCAGAAAACATGCACTAGTCCTCTGAAAGGGGTCAGTTCAGTATAACTCCTGAATTGCAATAGCCTTGATTAGCTAAAGCTCATATTATTTAACCAGACACAAAGTCTAAAGCATCAACTTGATATAACAGTGATTTGGCCAAATGACTGAATAAAAAGAACATCCAAGAAACTGCCAGACAAGGACTCTGTTTTACCAATCATTTATGCTATGTATGTGTTAGTAAGTAACTGGAACTGTGAAAAAAACCCTAAAATAGTTTTAGAAATACGCGTTTTGCCTCACCACTGTACTTTAAACATTAATATAAAACACTTAGCTAGATCTAGAACTATTTATCTTTATCTTTCTGTGTCATGTTTGCCCTTTATGTATATAAAAAAATATTTTCCTGTAATTAGCTCAATACTGTAGTCAGAGAACACATTCTTTCCCTCCATAATCTCCTAAACAATTCTTACATTTATTTGGGGATTTTTTCCAATAGCCTATATTATGTTATTTAACAGAGGAAAAATAGCATTTGAATAGTTTGCATTTATTCTTGGGGAAATACCATGTACAAAACCCACCATTTCTTTCAGTTTGTACTATTACAGTAACTATCTTTAAATTACAAAAACCTCTATAAATTACAAAAATCTCTATAAATTACAATATAGTATGTATTTCTTTATATTTTTATGAAGATTGTGCCTTTTTTCTTCCCTGTCATTTACCTGTAAAATAATTGATCAGTAGTCTACAAACTGAGACAACGGCATTAACACCAGATGTCCGGTTGTCTATGACAATCATTTATCACCTGGTGCTGTAGTATATCTATATGTTTTGTAAAAATAACTTATCTGAAAAACATATGCATGTTCTTTGATACAATTAAAATTATGCTTACGATACAAATTACTACATTTTAAAAACAGGAAACAAAAATCTGAAAGTAATCTAAAAGGTCACACTGTTGTTTTTTTTCAGTAAGGTTAGGAATTCTCCCTAAAAATTCTCTGTAGGTAGGCCCTTAATGTATGCCACAATGTGAATAAATTACTTTATTAGGTGATCCTTGCTTTTTTTTCCTCCTTCTCATTTTGTTACTACATGCCTTAAAATTGCGTACTAAACACTACAGTTCAGACTGAGAAGATATTTCTTCATAAATCACACAAAATAATTTTACGGAGATTTTTCCCAAAATTAAGTTTAGCTTTTACTTCTCATGCTTAGTCTTAGCCTTAAACTATTATTTTTGTAAAACTTTACTTTCAGCAGATGACTGAACTAGTTAAAATGCAAGAACACAGCCCAAAACAAGAAAAAATCCTCAGGCAAAAAATTTCAGCAAGCTTAGTTAACAAAAAGGGCAACAAGGCTTGTTAAAGGTCTAGAAAACATGTCTTATGAGGAACAGCTGAGAGAGCTGGGATTGTTTAGTCTTGAGAAGAGGAGGCTCAAGGGGGACCTCATCACTCTCTACAACTACCTGAACAGAGGTTGTAGCCAGGTGGGGGTTGGTCTCTTCTGCTGCACGTGCAGTGAGGGGAATAGAGGAAATGGCCTTAAACTGAGACAGGGGAGACTCAGATTAGATGTCAGGAAAAAATTTTCACTGCTAGAGTGGCCAGGCATCGGAACAGGTTGCCCAGGGAGGTGGTGGAGTCATCATCCCTGGAGGTGTTTTAGAGGCACCTGGATCTGGCACCGGGTGATGTGGTTTCGGGGTTACAGTGGCAGTACTGGGTTGATGGTTGGACTGGATGATCTTGTAAGTCTCTGTCAACCTTGATGATTCTATGATTCTATCTTGAAAACAGTAAATGATTTTGAGAAAGATGGAAGGAGACTCTCCATTTTATAGTGACAGTCATTAAAGCCGCTGTCAGAGAACCCCACCACTCACACCACCACCATTCTTCACTAAAAATGTGTCATCGTTACTAAAGGATAGCGGATACAAAAAAATATTTCCAATATTACTTCATGATCTGATTTTAGATAAATCTAAAGAATGTAAATTAACAGCCATTGTCTGAAGACTTGTAAAAATAGTTTACTTAAAATTACTGTTTAATATTTTATTGTTTTTCATAGCAAACTTGTAAGGATATATGAATCCCAAACTAAAACAAAATATGTCATAAAATTGCTTTCATGAATTCCTAAGAAATGTCTTAGAGAGCAAGTAGTAAAGGAGGTAGCAAAGGAGCTGTGCATACCAAGTACACAACATACAAAGAGAGGCCTAGAGAGTTGGCATTTTTCAGGCTAGAGAGAGAAGGGGAAGGAGAGACCTTACTGCTGCCTAGAACTGCCTGATCGAGGACACAGAGAAGACAGAGCCAGACTCTTCTGGGAGGTGCACCGCAGTGAGACAAGGGACAGGGACAAGCAAATACAAAGTTGGAATTGGAAAATGTAAATTTTCTTTTTAATTTATTCTCTCATTACCATGAGGGTGGACTGGACGAGTCCCTTGGAGCAGAGTGTTGAACTAGGCAACCTGCAGAGGTCCCTGCTAATCTAAAATATTTTATGATCCTGTGAAATCTAATAGAAATGCTGAGTATACATTCCTGCATTTCCTGCTTTGCTGCCTTTAATTAGACAACTAAAGAAAATGCTCCCAATATTTGTGATACTAAGCATATCCACCCCAATAATGTACAGCAAGGGAAAAAAAAAAGCCAACAAAACCAAACAAACCAACCCCCAAAAAGCTTCTTAAAAACCATGATGGAATCTGGCACAGTATGAATGCTCAACTTGGCAGAGGAAAATAGTGTTAACTTCCAGTTGACATTAATTTTATTTATTTTGGAAAAAAACATTGTATGACAAAAATAATTTAATATTGCATGGCTAGTTTTGATTTGTTGAAAACAAGTCTTTCTAAAGCTTAAGACTTTTTCATGACTATTCTGGGAAAGTGATCAAATATATTGATGTAGATATTGAATAGATCACCTGTTTAATGCGACTTTTTCATTTTGGGGGAAAATGGAGCAATTTATCAACACGAATGTGAAATTTTAGAGTGAATATGTTTTTAAATGACATTTTATCTAAAGAGGATTGCATGGCTTCAACTGCAAACACCAAAGTGAAGTGAGAGGAAACATTTCAGAAGGAATGAAATAACAATAAACACTTGATTTATAACAAAAATAAAGTTACTGTTTAATTGATTAGAACATATGAAGTACTGATACTCACAGGTCTGCACAGGTATACAATGCCCCCGATACGCACACTTTTGCACTTGTTCCTGATTCAGTATTTGAGAATGATCATTACAGGCAGGAAAAATGCTTCATTTTTTCCTACTTAGCAGTTCTAGAAGGCCACAGTAATTTTCCATTGCCCAAGAAATTTCTGGACCAAAAAAATTGAGTCCAGGACCTGCAAACCTTTCCATTTGGCAATAGCATGCCTCTCCATTTTATATACAAGCACAGGTAAAAATAAAATTAAAGTACATTTATACTTTGATAAGATCCTGGTCTATTCAGATGTTAATTGGTGGATCAATTTTTTGCATTTTCCACGCATACCAGAGTTTTTGCACACACTTCAAAAAGTAGTGGACAAAGGAGAAAATAACTCCTTACAGTATTTGCTTTAAAAAATACTTTTTTCTAGTAGGCTTTCTTGTTCCCAAAACCTGTTTAGAGGGCCAGTCATTTCCCAGATAAACAAAAGAAGGTTCAGAAGCTTAAAGGACCATTAAACTTACAGGAGCTGCAGGAAAGCTGGACGAAAGCTCATATGGTTCCTCTGAAATCCAATGGCCCAGTTCCAAAGACCACAGAACCTAGAATTAAATAGGTAGTAAGTAGAGCTCTTATAGTTTCTAAAAAAATAAACTCTTTGAATGTGTAATTAGAAGTGACAGTGCTGTTGCAACAGTTGTTTGATATTTCATTTATCCAAACCAAATGATTTGCTGAAAAATCACGCAATCAGAGAAGATACAAATTTTACAACTGAAACAAACCATTAAAATACCAGCCATATTTCTATGCATAGCTACATTAAAATTTAAAACCTTGTGAAGGTATCAGAAAAGTCAACTTATTTTCATCACAATACATAGAATTAGAACAAAGATTCCAAAAGGGAAGTTATACTATATCAGTTCTGTTCTCTTGGTTCAGTTAATCATTGAACTTCATGAGGTTTCTGCTAGCTCATTTCTCCAGCCTCTCAAGGTCCCTCTGAACAAGAATACCCATCTGGTGTATGAAACACTCCTTCACAGTTTTCTAACATCTGCAAACTTGCTGAGGTTGCACTCTTCCCCATCATCCAGATCATAAATGAAGATGTTAAACAATGGTGACAAGGATTATGTAACATCCTTCCAGCAGTTGCCATCTGGCACCTCTTAAATACAAGCCAAAGCAACCAATGCTACCTAGGAGTACCTACCCTGCTCTCCTAGAGCAACAGAGAGTATTAAGGGAACAAGAAGCATACATATACCCCCAAAATGGGATATATGGAATTTACCAGAGAGTAAATCCCTGTTTTAGAATAATTCTAACTCTGTCACATTTACCCTAAATAGCTCTCTCACCATTTTAAATAGATGATGCCTGTTTCTTACTGTTAGGACAGCCAGGCACCATTAAACTGTCATTATTCACCTTAGAACAAGCTGAATTTCATCAGTGCGTGAAATTATTCCCATGCTTGTTTCACAATAACTGAAATACTCTGTATTTTTCTTTCTTTTGGAAGATGCCATACAAATCCATATATTATTATTTTTAATAATAAAACATTACCTCATAAAATTTAGGAACAAGTCTGTGAGCTATTCCACTTAGATAAAAACTGGCCTTGTAGATATTGAGCATGGTAAAGTTATCCTCTACAATGTTAAAGCTCATTGATGAAAAATTTTAAGCTGAACAGAGTGATTATAAACTAGCAAAATAACTTTATAAAATGGCCTAATTGTATGTAGGAAAATAAGTTTCTGTGAAGGACTTTTTTGCCCCAAATCTATTGCTACATGAAGTAAAATTCCAAACTCGTTTTTGATAAAAAAATTATTTTCTAAATTAAGTTCTGTAGTTTTCAGTTGAAAGCAGCTTATGTCTCACGACTTCCAGGGAAAACAGCAGCTTTTAATGTGAACTGCTACAAAAGCTGGTGCTTTGTGTGATGTGACAAGTCATATTTGACTTGTGAGGGGAGGTATCTAATTTTGCAGGTGACTAGAAGTGAACAGTGATTTGTTGCTGGTAATAAAAAGCAGCATATCTTCAAACTTATTGTTGAACTTGATCACAGAATTCCAAAGAATATTATGTTTTCTTTTAGAAGATGTACAACCAAATATTTGAAAATGCAACGCATATACAAAAAAAGAAAATAATTTCTACAGTCATTATATCATACCAAACATAAAAATAAGAGTTAAGCACATTAATAAATCAGTGACATTTAACAAATATTCAAAACTCAATAATGCATTTCTGTGTTCAGCTAAGTATAGCAACTTCTTAAAAACATACAGACTGCAACTTAGGATTGTAAATTATAAATTTTAAAGTGGTAGCTGTGTGTATTTTTTACAATTACTTTTAGCAATTTAAAGTAAGAATATTGAAATCTGTGAGCTTTATATTTATAGTTGTGTATATTTATTGAAAATAAAAAACTTGTTAATCCAAGCCATTTCTCTTTTAATTCCAGTATAAATCAATTTTAACTGAACCAAGAAAATTTAACACAGAGACATGCTACATGAAAATAAATTCTTCATGAATAATCTTCAGCAGGAACAGATGTACCATGCTGTGTAATGTGTACATCATGTCCTTATAGTACCAAAATTATGTTTGTACCAAAAGTAGCTGGACAACAACTCAAGCAGATTAAAACATAAACCCAAAAGATTAGTTATGATTAAGTAATCCCTTTTTCTTTTCCAGGCCAATTCTACAGCAACAGATCTATCAATCCTTGTAGTATTTACAGAATTTTGTTTAGAAATGAATTCTGTTTGTCTTAACAAAAGATGGATTAATGCTTGTCTATCATGGTTCTGGAATTGAGTACAAAGGCATTGTATCTACGTTCCTAGATAAAAAGAAAATCAGATACTGAGTTCATGAACAGGTCCTGGAGCAAATAATTAGGTCACCATTCACTAAAACATTCAGTTTTCATGAAAACAAAGACAAGAGCTTTCCATTGCAAACTACTGAAAGTTTGCTTCTGCCTTTGACAAATTTTCAACTAGTATATATTCACAGCAACACTAGAAAAAATGCTTCAAATTCATGTAGGACAAAAACAAGTTATGATTTGCAATATTATTCTTAGTTGCAATACTTCAGAATATAAACACTTTTCTATTGAGAAGAAAGGGCTATCTAGAAGTTTTCAAATGTGCAGTTAGAGAAGATTTAACTTGTAATGATAAAGCAGTACTGTATGGATCAAGTAAGAATGCTGGATATAGGAGTATCAGAAGTTAGGAAAATACAGCTGATAACATTGAGATATTGAGCATATATCAGATTCTAGTAGAATACAGTCTTCCTGATCATGGAGGACCCAAGTTAGGAGAAAACAGAGAAGGAAGAAGAGAGTGAGAAAAGCATATTTTTTCTGTGGACTTCTTACAACCTTAAAGAATATTTTCCTTTGGCTTTGGACCCTAGAATCAAGTTGATCAATTTGTTACTTCATCCTCAAGTATGGGCTATTTCAAGTAATTCAGTAGCAGACAACTGGTATGGCATGGAGCTCCAAAAGTGTTCTGTAGGTTATACAGCTAAAAATTTAGCCTTGGTGCAGTTTTCCTCTGCTTATCCATATCAGCTACGTTCTCTTATCATATAGGGAAAGGTATGTCAGACATCAAGTTCTCAAGGATCTGAAAACACACTGTTTGAGTAGTCATTATTTATGGTCTCTTACCCATCCAGATAGCACACTGAATGATCATACGGTATTTGTACTCAAATAATTCATCTTGGAATATATAAATAGAGTGCTATGAAAATTAAATGTCTGATGGCAAATCTGGTATTTCTCCAAAATCCATCTTTAAAAATATAATTTTAAGTTTTTCTCGGAAGAAAAAAAATATTTCAGTCTAAACTATCTCCATGTTACAAGTCAAAAGGCAGATGTAAATGACTTCTCAAAATGTTGAGAGACATCTTACAAAAGACAATCATCACTGGTCAAAAGTAATACCTTGTTTAAAAAGTGTAACTAATTTCTCCAGATTGTTCGATTATTTTAATTATCCAATTTGAACTATTTTACCAATGAAAGTACTTATGATAGGGTTGATTACATTCAAAGGATTCAATAATGTAGCGTCAATAAAAGGAGAAGATTATTTTGCTTAAATGAAGTTCTCCTAACTAATTTTCTACTGAATTCCTGAATTCCATCTACTGCATGATGGTTAAGTAAGGCTTCAGCTTTCTCTTCTCCAGTTTTTCAGTTAATTAATTTGGGTTAAAAGATGGCAAAATTATGCCAGTGACACAATTAGAAATAAGACAAAAAAGCTCTTACATTATAAGATTCATTGATTTAACCAAGTTAAGAAATAATTTTTTTTAAAAAGTTCAAAGCACTAATTTCTTTCAGTGAAAGAGATTACTTAATTACTTGAGGGAATAAGTCTACAAGGTAGACTGTAAGATAGGAGGACAAAATTTGGCATTACTACTGATCAATACAGTCTACGAAAAGTATGGGTAGATGGTTTCACCATGAATTTGTTCACAGAAGTTCAGAGTATAAAATGGGCTGTGAAATGCCAGGACAGCAATTGTCAGAATACTGATTATCCAAATACTGCCTTATGTACAAACACAGGAAGCTATTTTGTACTGGTTACATCTTTACTGTCTTAGTAGTTATTTGAAGTTTTTTTTCCGAGATAAAATGCAGCTTTCATGTTTGACTACCCTCTTATGAAAAAATAGCTTATAGCAATTACGTTGTGACTTGTTAAATGCTCCATACAAAGCCAAGTGTGGGACAGATATTTCAGTGTATTTAATTCATAGATGCAAAGAATCATATAGTAGTTGCAGCTGGAAAGGATGTCTGGAGATTTTCTTTTTCAAACCCCTGGCTCAAATGCAGCCAAGCTTAATGCAGCTATTAGTCTTTTTTTTGCCACAAAGGTACATTACTGGATCCTCAAGGTGACGAAAGATGCAAACTCTCTATTCCAAGGGAAATTAATCACCAAGAATTTATGAAAACCCTGAAGGATACCACAACAACTTCAGATGACTGCATATATATCACACAGGACAAGCTACACACTGCTAAGTGTCAGACATCTCAAAAACAAAAAGGCAATAGGAGTTTATTTTCAGCCCAACAATTACATTTTCAAGTATTTGTAAGAAAAAGGAAAATACAAAATTGAAAGTTATTCAACAAACCTTTTCTGCATAAGATGAAGAGCTAATTCCATATAAATTCCAATTCTGGAACTATGAAACATAGTTCCAGAAATAGTTCCATTATCAAAGGGAGCAATTGAGATGGCTTAAGCCTGGGCTGACAGGTAAGCTCCCCACCCAGTCACTGCTATTTCTATTTTATATTTTTCCTACTTGCAGCAAAGGATCTAACAATTCCCCTTAATTTTTACCAAATGCTGAACAAAATGCATGTTTTGGAACAGAACAGAAATATATTATCAGGATATAAAAAATTCAATCTGAATAATGTGAGCTGGCTAACGTTGAGCAGAAATGGTTTATTTAGCCTTTAGTCTGTCCAAAAATAATGCATAAGAGATGAGTTTCTCATACATGAGATAAAAGTTCAGGCCTTCCTAAGATACATAATGAGGTACAATACAGAAATTCTTTGGTTAGATTAAGCGCTGAAAGACTGTAACTCACAGTAACAGAGCTTCACACAGACAAATTTCATCTTACAGAATTAATTCTAGGTAAGTCTGAATATCTGAACATTGCACCATTGTAACATAGACCCAAGCACAGTTGATATTTCAGCTATACAAAATAAGTTTAAGTTATCATGTAGTAAAATTAAAAAGCACTTCTCGCCCATTCATAAGAAACAATCCAACACCCATGAGAAATTCTCAGCATAACATTCAAGGTATGATGAGGATCCCCAGTAACTACATGACTTCTTCTTTCACATACATCATTTGAGAACAAAAGTCTCCAAGTTCTTTTCATCATCTGAATTACTGTATTACTGCTTCCTAAAAAGAAGAAAAAGAAAAAAAGACCTCAAACAACATCGAGTGAATTTACAGAATTATAAAAGCATATACACCCAACACAAATTAACTCAAACTCATCTCTTTCCTCACTAATAATTTCTTGTCCTTTTCTCACTAAGCCTCTACACACTTGGTAGCCCTGAACTCATTACCCTCTCAACAGAGTCCAAACAGACCCTTTTCTGTTATCATACAGTCATATCTACTTGCACTTCAAAGCCCTTTTGTCACCCACATCTATCTTGTCTGTTTAAATAAAAGCTTTTGAGTGCAGAATTATCGAATATGTTGTTTGTGTACAATGCCCAGTACAACAGAGCGTAATTCTTGGTTGCTTTTTTATCAAAAAAGTATTACCAAGAAATGTAAACATTTAGACATAGCACTCTTAACAGGTTTTCATTAGGAAGCATGAGATTTTCAGCATCTGAATAATATGCTGTGTCTAAATTTAGAGAGAAATCCTAAAGTTCTGTCTGGCTTTCTACCTACAGATTTGAGCAAATATTTCAATTAAAAATTCGCTTATCCTTAAATACGATTAAAATTAAATATAAATTCCAGAATGTCCACCTATAACTGGAATTCTAATTCGAGGTCTCTACATAGCTGTGCTGAAGAATATAAATATATCATTCTGAAAAGAGTAAGATCTTGGTATCACTAAAGAAAAGCTGTTGCAAGAGAACAATTTACTGTTCTTACTAATCATTATTTTTACAATTATAAATGATCATTAAAGAATCCGTAAATGAAAGCCAAGTTCTGGTGGCCTCTCTGCTCCTCCCACTGACTTTGAAACATCCAGGGCATTTGACACAAGATAAAGCAATTAAGCACAACATTGAACACAGTCACATCTATCACACTGGCGATCTTTTCAGGTAAAACATTAATCACTGACACTCAGAGCGCAAGAGCGTTCAGAGCATCTCCAGAAGCCTCTGTGGTTACTTCATTCTCACTACATTTCCAGATTTCCACAGAAAGGAAATCTGTTACAAACTCCCAAAGTATTCCAGCTAAAAAAAAAACCAAACTACTTAGTGGAATTCCAAGAAAACTGCAAAAACTTCTTCATAGAGATTGGAGTAATCTATTTTTCAAGAAGTTTAAAACAAATAAATTAACAGTAAAAACAGTGTAGCAAACTAATGTCACACAAATTAAAAGGTGATATTGTATGCTGAGATACTCAAAAAAAATCAAACAACTGACCACTCCAGCATGAATTCTGGCCTTGGCTATATGGCTTTGCTTGTTACTAGAATATTTACTATTCCCTTTACATTTTGTGAGTTTAAACTTGACATAGCCTACAAGTGAATGTTTTCACAATGCTGCAACCCACAGTGGCCGGTCCTGCCCAGAGTACATGCTCAGGGGATCTATTTCCATGCTCTACCTGAACCTTTTCTTAGTTCTTTCCCATGTCTACATAAAATTCCTTATAATGAGATGAAAAATTCCTGTTTTATAAGGCTTGAATCTGAGATATCTTATAAATGGCAGAGAAAACTCACCAGTTTATACTTGAGTCAACTGCAAAAACTGAGGGATGAAAATTTACAGCAAAATTTCACTGGATTTGTAAATCAGAAAAATAGGTAGCTGCTGGCTGTGAATCAGTGAGCAGCATTTAATATAATCTCAAAACCCGATGCCATGAAACCACTGAACTCATGCATCTTAAAATGTAAATTCTAATGAACCACTTTTGAGGCTGTAGCTACTGGGTAGTAAAATTGGCTTTTGACCACTGGGTTGTATTTTGGAGGACTATTTTCTGTTCTTTAGTTCTTTCGGAAGCGGTCCCTTTCCTTTCACCCATTTAAAAGTTGATGTATGCCTACAGCTGTAGTCAGCCAAAAGCACAGTCTTGACAAAAAGGTTCTGAAGAAAAGCAATTGTTATCACCAGATATTTTAATTTAATGAAATAATTGGCTAGTGGGAAAAGTCAATATACAAGCAACATAAAAGAAATAATAAGATAATGACCTCTTTAAAAAAAATGAAATTTTCCCCAGCTCTGCCAGGATTTGTTCTCCTCTTTTAGGCAGACCACAGCCTCTGTTTTCCCCTACTATCTGCACTGTAGCTGTGATCTTTACCTCCTCCACAGTGATCCTGTAGTGAACGACTTGCAAAGACCATTTTATAAACTTGGTGTTACTAGCATCCAGTCACATTAAGTACCAGAAAAGTATTACTTACATTTTATGTTTCTGATATATATACTTGTTAATAGCTATTGACAACCATTTACATAAAACTTCTGAAAGAACAGCCACTAAATGCTGTTTCTGAGCACTTATATCTATATAACCATTAAGATTTAAGTACATCAAGCCTGAAACAGATTTATGGATAGTAAAAATATCTTGAGTTTTGAAAAAGAATTAAAAAACTGTAAGCAAGCGTAGTATAAAATATGGAATTGTGTTTTTGTTGGATGTTCCCTTATGCTGTAAGACCTTTAAGAGAATGATAAGAGCATGCCAGAAAATTATTAACTCTCTCCCAAAATATGCAGTGGCAGCTGCTTCAAATATTTTGAAACTAAGGGGCTAAAAAGCCTACAACTGATATTTACTCTGCAACTATTTGTATGAAAGAAAACGTTTTAAACTTATGTTTTAGATTATGATTTTTTAAATATAAATAATTAAAATGTACGGGGAAAACCTAAGTCTTGGGCTGAACCATTTACTACATACAACTACTATTTACATTTCCTTCAGAAAAATTCAAAACTTGCTTAAAATTTCAGTTCTATTGCTCTGAAGCCCTGCTGAGCTCACCTGTGGAACTACTTCAGTCTGCACCATAGCAACAGAAACATACACAGTGCAAGCAGCAGTGACATATACATGTGTGTACGAATTTCTAGCCAGAACACAGAATGAAATAAAGTGCACAGCCCCAAAATTTTGTATACACATAACAAGATTATCCACATTCAAATTTAAACTGTGTGCTGAATAAATAGAATGTTTAATAATTAGAAGACACCAGTCATAACCAGTCTCCTTGTTAGCTAAAGATGTGAAAGGACAAGAAAACATCAAAAATCTGAAAAAAATTCCCCTTTGAAAAACAATTTCAATTAGAAACTGTTCCATTAAAAGGACTAAACCACTTCATAATTACAGTATTACCTGGAGAAGAGTCTGATTTAATTAACACATATAACAGAAATATTAAACTTTGAAGACAAGGAAGGAAGGAAACCATTTCCCTTATGCCTTGTATCAAAGCATCTGATATAGCAGAAGACAGTAGTGTAAGCTTTCATTAGCAAAAACAAAAAGCAAAGGATTTCCAGTCTGAGACGCCACAGAAAAAAGGATAGTATTTGTTTTCTGCCCTCTCCTTCTGATCAGATGGAAAGGAAAAGGCAGCTTACCTGCAACAAAGAAAACCTGTAATTTAAAATTCCAGTTTCTTCCAAAACAAAGGCAGAGATTAGCCCAGATGCTGCAGAAACAAGAGTATATTTATTGAAAAATATAATTTTTATGACTTTATTTTTACAGTATAGTGGGGTTTTTTTGGCATAACTTCAGTATTTGATGTTCAGGTTAAGTAAACATTCCTTCACTCTTCAATATTTTCTAGTAAATAGAAGTTGTTCACGTAATGTAACACACAAGGGATACTCAAAGAGTACAGCAATCCTCAAACCAGCAACTCTGAAACACCTTAAAAAGCACCCTGCCTTCCTCTGCAATAACAGCCATAGCTTATGTGCAAAGCAGGAGTGTTTGCCTCATATGGACTATAAATAAGCTTTTTAAGAATTAATATTATAGAAGCCAGAAAAGGAGGGAGTTCATCAGCAACGACCATGAAGGCCTCCAACATGCACAAAGGTAGCACAGAACATGAATTTTAGCAGCATCAGAGAAATACATAATTAAACAGAACACAGTCATCAAAAAATGCATGTAAGAAGATGTTTTGAAAACCTTAGCTAAGAATTATTTGTAGCTACATAAATATACACAAATACATAATCATTTTAATTTTGTAGAAAAAAGCAGATTGACTGAATTTTATAAAATTATTTCAAACAACTCCTAATTTTCAAAATCAATTTATGAATTTAAATTATTTCTCCAGATAACTATTGGTCCACAAGAAAAAATAATTCCCACTTCTGCACTCCAATATATTGCCACAACCCAAGTAGTAAGCTCCCAAAGTTTCCTTTGAGTAGTGTACTGACCTGAGACCACAACAATATTTTGAATTGCTAGTACAGGCCAAAAAAAGACTTGAGGGTAACTCATTTTACCCACTAATGAATCAAAGAACAGAAGAGAGAACATACTCTGATGCAACTCCGACTTCTCTTGTCAGTACAGAACTGTTCTCTATCGAGCAATCAAGCAATTTGTCACATTTAAGAATGGAGTTGGAATTACCTGTGTAGACTATTAGACTTACAGAATGTAGACTAATAATGTGCACCATGACTGTTCATTATATGAACATTCTTTGCATAAACAGAACACAATTTAGATACCACTGACAAGGCAGATATTAAAGATAACATAAGAAGGAGTCATTTCAACATACACATGGTAATTTCATTCTGTGGGTAGGTAAATTTGAAAACCACAAACCGCATCTATTTAAGTCTTCAGAAGCAACATAATGCAGCATATTCAATAATTTTTTAAATTCATGATAAACATGTAAGGTCTACAATACTTGAGAACTGAAAATGTATACAATGTCAAAATGTAAAACCATTCAATAATAGAATGGAATAAAACTTCAAGACAAAAGGATGCAAATATTGAAATATTTGAGAGAAATTCAATGTAGTATTTTTGGAAATGTAAGTTTCCAAATTCTAACTTGTTGCCAGTAATACTTAGTGCTGATATCTTACTCTACTGCTAGCCTGACTGTTAAAGAGAGGATAAAGTGAACTTATCTGTAATCAAATTTTGTTCTGTTCTTAGCCAAAAGACTTTCTACTGCATTACTTTCCAACTCCAAGCAAGCAGTCACATTCAATTGCTCTTGGAAGTTCCAACTCAATTCTACACTGGACTTTTACACACAAAGAGTTTGTGCAAAAATAACAACAATGCAATAATATATGTTAGATATGTCTATCAGAACATGAATATAGTTAGTATTAAGTTACATAAACTCAGAATTTAAGAATAAACACTCAAAAAAGACATCTAGTAAAAAATTAAGTAATGGTTCTTGTGGTGAAAGGACTGCAATATTAGACACTCTACTTCACAGGTTAGGTCAGATGACTGAAATCAGACATGGGGTCAGATTATACAATTATGAAGACGCACTTCAGGACGCACTTCATACTGTCTTAATACGTATTGTGGGATCTGCAAAAAATCATGAACATTAAAGGATTCTGGGATGTGACAGCCTGGGAAGGCAAAAACCAAGGCTTAAAAGCAAGGTTTTGCTTTTCTCTGTCCAATCTTTCTGCGTGGAAAAACTCATCTAAGTCAAATATGTATGTTTCAGCATGGTCACGATGTTCTCCAGCACGTAAAACCAAGGCTCGCTGCTATCAAAATTGAGGCTCCTTGCATAGCATTAACTCTAAAGCTAGATCCTGATGTGTTGGAATGTGCAAAAAAATATCCTTCCCTGCAATTTTTATACATTATGAAAGTATCACTAATCATACTACTACTTTTGCCAAAACTTGGGTTAAAAAAAAAGCATTAATATAAACCAGGACTAGAGCAGCTTGAAATCCTACAGCTGCTTCTTCAGCTTCAGAGCAGAAATGTTTGTTAACAGTTTCTTAATACCTTGTCTATAGGTAAGTGAAAATACTGGATCCACACAAATGAGGAAACCTGCAGCCTGTCCTGACCTTACCCTGCAAAGTCAGCTTTTGAATTGTGGCTTTTAGGCTACAGTACATGGCACACATGATGGTACAGGGAGTATTCTGAAAAAATGTCCTGTCAGTGCACTTAAAAGTTATTCAAAGACTTCAGAATGCAGAAGAACGCACACAAAACATAGAAATTGTAATAAATTTAATTTCTTCCAAACTGTTATTTCATTTGCATTCAGAACTGCATATTTTTCCAAGTTAGAGGTCACTTGCTAAGCAGACAATATTTTGTTTTATTGCTTCAATAAGACAAGCAGTTCTCTTTAATTACAGTTACCAAGTGGAAAACTTAGCCAAACTATGTTCTAATTTTCAGCTCTACATTTTTCAAGTTAATTGCTTCCCCCCTCCCTATGCAATTTTTCTTCTGTGCTCTTTGTGTCTGTTTTATTTTTTATGTTGCTTTTATTGCAAAAAAACCCAACCCGATCCAAAGAAAAACAACCAAAAAAAATTGAGTTAGCACTTTCTTTTCTGACCAGCAAAAAGACATCTGCTGAGCATCACTGTGAGTTCTAATGCATGTTTGTAGCAGGATTATTATTAATAAAACACTGGAAAAGGTGGTATTAAGTTAACTGGTCCTTTTATTTATCATTAATCTCTGAATCCTGAAGAGTGGCATTATCTGTACTCTGACTCAGAACACACTTCTTTCTGAATTATTTTTGAGGTCTGGAATATAAGCTTTTACATAAACTATATAGTTTAGCTTTCCTTTATATATTTTCTAGAAGCACAGTTGCATTAAGTACTTCTTCAGAGTCTGCCAAGAAAGAAAGATTTTTCTAAGTCATCTGAAATATAAAACATGCATTTCAGTAGCTGAGAGGAAATAGTGTTTGTAAATCTCCCCAGTACTTAAAGAATAACGTGATACTTCCTGTATGCTAACTTACCAACCCCAGAAAGAAGGTGTCCAAAACGTATTTTTTTCTTCTTTCTAAGTTTGAGCAGGTGTTTCTTGGAGCTGAAGGACAAGAAGAAAAAAGTCCCGTTTTGTACGACCTGCTTTTCAAGAAGGTGAGCTCAAATTTTCCTTCCTTAAGCACGTCATGGGTTTTGTTTCATAAGTGACAAATGGAAATTAGACCATAAAATGTTTTTCCAGGTCAGTTTTCAAGAATAAAGTGCATTCACATAGAGAATTAACTTGATAATAATAATTTTACATCTGTGACTGGTTGAATTCCAGCTTAAGTATACTAGATCTCATTTTGTCTTTGAGTCAAGAACCGAGGCCTCAGATATTTTTCAAGAAAGGATTTCAACCAATAAATAGCACTTTTGAATTGTATATTAGTACAAATGCTCCTCTTGTGCCTTAAAGTTGACTGAAGTTCTGAAAGAAATATTCCTCAGAGTACTCTCTATCTCAGATATATGCTTTGATGGAGCAAAAAAAGACCTTCTCCTTTAGGACTCAACAAGATACTTGCCCTACGTGATTTGGCCAATATACCTCCTTTTTGGAGGCCAGGAGGGAGGCAGGTGAAAGCAGTGCATGTGTGTGCAAATACAGTGTAAGGGAGAGTACAGGATTATTATCCTATCTTGTTTGTATACTTCAAATCCCTTCTTCTCTGGCTATTGTAAGTCCATCAGATGGTTTTGAAATTGGTTTAGAACTCTTATACTGACTTTTGATCTTTACAGCAGTATTTCAGAAGTCATGGCTAGGCTTCGCGAACGAAGATTTGGGAAGGCTCTATCCACATTTGTTACAGGCACGCTGGTGGCTTATGAGGCCAATACGAGACAGATTTCAGAAGTAACAATCTTCAGTCCTACTAGTACATGAGCCAAAAGACAGAGCCATGTTTAGTATAGGAATATTCAACAATCAGGTTAATTTCACTTTGCTTTTATCTAGGAAGGTTGTAACTTGGATCCAAAACCTTAAGTCTGCTTTTATAAACAATCTATAAATTGTAATACATTAATTTATTCAAGTAATTGTGGCTCATAGCTGAAAATAATTGGTAATTGTAATGAATGATTATTATTCGGTATTTTGTACACAGCAATTATTCAAAGCTGTAATTTACTTTCTGGCTAGCCTTTCTCCTCTTATCAGTCCTTTGATACTGACATTTTTCCAGTTTCCTCTGGCTGCAAAAGTCAATTTCAACTGTAAT